GAGGAGGATGAGGATAAGGAGGAGGAGGTGGATAAGGAGAAGGAGAAGGAGAAGGAGAAGGACAAGTAGAAGCAGAAGAAGATGAAGAAGAAGAAGATAAAGAAGGAGAAGGAGAAGGAGAAGGAGAAGGAAGAGCAGAAGGAGCAATAGTAGGAGCAAGAGCAGAAGGAGCAGTAGTAGGAGAAGGAGCAGGAGAAGAAGGAAGAAGAAGAAGAAGAAGAAGAAGAACGTGGAGGAGGAGCAGGAGCAGGAAGAGTAGGAGAAGGAGAAGAAGCATAAGGAGGAGGAGGAGAAGGACAAGTAGAAGCAGAAGAAGAAGAAGAAGAAGAAGAAGAAGAAGAAGAAGAAGAAGAAGAAGATAAAGAAGGAGAAGGAGAAGGAGAAGGAGAAGGAGGAGCAGAAGGAGCAGTAGTAGGAGCAGGAGCTGGAGAAAAAGGAACAGGGGGAGCAAGAGAAGAAGCAGAAGGAGGAGGAGGAGAAGGAGAAGTAGAAGGAGAAGAAGAAGAAGAAGAAGAAGAAGAAGAAGAAGAAGAAGATTTAATTGATTAAATCAAGTTATATTAAGCATGAATTGTTGATTTCTTATGATTTTGATGATGTTTCCCCATAAACCCATGTAATTCCCATATTTTCAAAGTTTATGATATGATATGGGTCTTTGTTGGTGAAAAAGGAATTTTTGAAATTAATACATGAGGTGATACAATCACATAAATTATAATGAAATCCATGTCTAATGCTTGAATTCTAGATGTGGTGATTGAAATTAGGTTTCCAACCTCAAGGAGATAAAGTATGAGATTATGCACTTTCTATTAAATCTATGCAATTGTTTTAAGGACACTTTGAGAGTAAAGTGTCAATGATCATGATATTGTTGTTGTGTTGATTAAAAAGACATTCTGATGAACACTTATGAACATTAATTTTAATGGTTTCCTCACATAGTAAGGATTCTAAGGTGGAAAGGGTTTTCTCACCTAATTGAATCAAAGAGTAAAAGTGATCATGGATGGAGAAAGGTTTTCTCACGGATGGTCTAAAGAGCTATCCTAATGAATTAACTTGGATTGATTTTCAAGGACATCCCTTCATGAGACAAGACTTAAGTCAAGACTTAATAAGTATTCCATGGGATTTATGCTTAAAACCGAATGGATATTTAATATGAGATGGAGGCTCACACGTAGTTGAGTTCGGGCTTCCAAAATGGGAACTCTCACGTAGTTGAGTCTGGGTTTCCAAAGTTTGTCTCATGAGATGGAAGCATTCACAAAGTTGAGTCCGGGTTTCTAGTAGCATTCTCATTATCCCCTAAACTATGTTCCCCCATAGGTTATTTAGCTATTTGATCCACCTAAGCCAAGAGTTACCGGTTCTACATTAGGCAAGTAGACCAACCCTTTCCAGTGTGGGAGACACCGGGTGATCATGTTATAGCTCACATGGTCTCAATGTCGGTTGAGGCTTATTTCCACAACAAGATTAATATTGAACTAAGACATTCTTAAAGAAGTATCTCGTAGTGTTCAAAGGTTCTAAAGATGATGCTAGTTTGCATTGAAGATAATGTTCTGACTTATATTTTCCAACTATCTCTATGATGATGTTTAAACTTGGTAAATTGCATGCTTTGAAATGAAATGTCCCTTTTAGCATGTCTTAAATGGTCTTATGCATAATTATCATACTCAGTGCATTTTTGTACTAACGCATACTCTTGCCTATATTTTTCCCAAATGTGGGGTCCGACAGTCAGGATCAACAGTTTTGCGGCTAGAGCTTGGATTTGATTGTTTTCAAGTTTGGTGAGTCCTCATGGTTTCAGTGCGGAATTTCATATGTTTAGTTTCTTTCGTGTACTTTCCCTTTTGAACATGTTGTATGGCCTAGGCCTAATTTCATTCGATATTGTAATAGATGGCTATGATGAGACAAAGTGTCTAGACTTCTGCTTTCTTTTATGAAAAACTTTTTAGACTCAAAATATGTTTTATTATTATTGTTTTATTTCTTATGTTATGAGGATGAAGTGGCTTGTATGGAGCCTTCAGGGTTCTATATGCCATGTTACATCTAGGGGGTACCCCTGGGTTGTGACAGACTTGATAATTAGAGCACAAGGTTTAGAATGGTCCTAAGATGATGTCTCATAAGCTACGTCCAGTAAAGTATTGTTCATGAGTGTGAAGTGCTCCACATTTATGAATGAGAGTCTAAAAGATGTTTAGGAAATTCCACTTCTTTCATTACTCTTAAGTTGTGCGATAGAGTTTAACTCTATAAGGTCTTTCTCATAATCCTTATCCGATGGTCTACTGGATATGATGACTACTCGAAGGACTTTCTCTATAAGGAATGAGGAAGACAATGTGAATCAATGAGTTCCTCAAGTAACAAATGTGGGGTTCAGGGCTGCTTATCAAGTGTTAGCTCAAGCCATGACGGCTCAATCCAATAGAGACGTTGTAGCTCCCATAAACCCAAATGTGGGTACGGCAGCTTTAAGAGTGAGGGACTTTACAAGGATGAACCCTCCGGAGTTTTTTGGGTCAAAAGTTAAGGAAGATCCTCAAGAGTTTATTGATAAGGTCTACAAAATTTTGATGATTATGGGAGTTATGCCGGAGGAAAAGGCGGAGTTGGACGCTTATCAATTTAAAGGTGTTTCTCAAGTGTGGTATAACCAATGGAAGGAGGGGAGGCCGGTAGGAGTGGGTCCCATAGATTAGGAAATGTTTAAGTCTTTTTTTCTTGATAGGTTCTTTCCCCTTGAGATGAAGGAAGCAAAGGTGTGAGAGTTCATTAACCTTCGTCAAGGGAGTATGAGTGTGAGGGAGTATGAGTATGCTCTAAAGTTCACCCAATTGTCCAAGTATGCTCCAACAATGGTTGCGGATTCAAGGGCTAGGATGAGTAAGTTTGTGACAAGTGTATCCGACATGGTGGTTAAAGAGTGTCGTACTGCAATGCTCATTCATGACATGGACATCTCTCATCTTATGGTCAATGTACAACAGATTGAGGAGGAAAAGCTCAACAAAAAATCTAAAGAGGTAAAAAAGGCTAGGACCGGTGATGGAAATTTCTCTAATGCAACATCTGATGGACAAGGTCAACCTAGATTTCAACAAAGGTTTTCTGATCAAGGCTCCTCCAATGCTCCTCCAAGGTTCAACAAAGATAGGGTGTCTAACCCTAAGCCTCAAGGAGGTAATGATAGTGGATCTTGATTGCCTATTTCAAATTGCACTAAGTGTGGAAGGAAGCACGATGGTAAGTCTCTAGACGGCACGAATGGTTGTTATAATTGTGAAAAAAGAGGTCACAAGATGAGGGATCGTTTGATGCTTAAGGCTAAAGGAAGAGAGGGCAAACAAGCTCCTTCTAGTGGTCTGAATTACAATGCTCCTAAGCAAAACCGCTTCTATGCTCTCTAAAACCGAGGTAAACAAGAGAGTTCCTCGGACGTAGTCACCAGTATGTTAAAAATTTTCCATAAAGAGGTGCATGACTTGCTTGATCCCGGTGCTACTTTATCTTTTGTGACGCCATATGTGGCAATGATATTTGATGTGCTCCCTGATGTGTTGTTAGAAACTTTTTCTATCTCTACTCTTGTTGGTGATTTTGTGGTGGTTAAGAGGGTCTACAGAAGATGTCCCATTTCCCTATCCCATAGAGTTACTCTTGTTGATTTGGTAGAGCTTGATATGTTAGACTTTGATGTTATCTTGGGTATGGATTGGTTGCACTCTTGTTACGCTTCTATTGATTGTGGAACTCGTGAGGTAAAGTTTTAGTTCTCGAATGAGTATATCCTTGAGTGGAAGGGGGGAAATTCTATGCCTAAGGGCAAGTTTGTCTCATGTCTTAAAGCTATAAAGATGATTTCTAAGGGTTGCATTTACCATCTTGTTAGGGTGAGGGATGTAGATTCTGAAACCCTTACTCTTGAGTCAGTCCCCGTTGTAAATGAGTTTTCGAAAGTGTTCCCCGTTGATTTACCCGATATTCCTTTCGAGTGGGTAATAGACTTCGGTATTGACCTTCTCCTAGATACGCAACCTATTTTTATTACTCCTTATAGAATGGCCCCTGAGCTAAAGGAGTTGAAAGAACAATTGAAGGATTTTTTGGATAAGGGCTTCATCCGACCGAGTATCTCTCCATGGGGTGCTCCAGTTTTGTTTGTTAGAAAGAAGGGTGGATCTCTTCGTATGTGTATTAATTATCGTCAGTTGAACAAGGTGACCATTAAGAATATGTATCCTCTTCAAAGGATAGATGATTTGTTTGACCAACTACAAGGGGCAAGTTACTTCTCTAAGATTGACCTTAGGTCGGGTTATCACCAATTGAGGGTGAGAGGTGATGATATTCCAAAGATGGCTTTTAGAACCCAGTATGGTCATTATGAATTTTCGGTAATGTCGTTTGGGCTGACTAATTCTCCGACGGCGTTTATGGATTTGATGAATAGGGTGTTTAAACAATACCTTGACATATTTGTGATCGTGTTCATTGATGATATTATGATATATTCAAGGAGTGAGGTGAGCATGTTGATCATTTGAGGATTGTGTTGCAAGTTCTTAAGGACCAACAACTTTTCGCAAAGTTTAGCAAGTGTGAATTTTGGTTAAGGTCCGTAGCTTTCCTTGGTCATATTGTGTCAAGTAAGGGTATTGAGGTAGATCTTAAGAAGACGTATGCGGTTGAGATTTGGCCTAGACCTCTAACTCATTCGGATATTAGAAGCTTCTTGGGTTTGGCCGTTTATTATAGAAGGTTTGTCAAGGGTTTCTCTTCCATTGCCTCTCCATTAACGGCTTTGACTCAAAAGAAGGCTAAGTTCATTTGGTCGGAAGCTTGTGAGAAAGTTTCCAAGAGTTGAAGGATAGATTCACTTTCGCTCCGGTGTTGACTTTACCGGAAGGTACGGATGGTTTTGTGGTGTATTGTGATGCCTCTAGAATTGGATTAGGATGTGTGCTTAT